TAAATCCTAGCACTTGGGAGGCAGAGACAGCTAGATCTCTGTGAGTTCAAGGCTGGCCTGGACTACATATCCAATTCCAGGATAGCCAAGGCTACATAATGAGATTCTGTCTCAAAAAATAAATCAATCTATAGATGATTGATAGATAGATAGATAGATAGATATAAAGGTTAAAAACTCATTCAATTTTGTGTCTTACAGGGCTTATACTGAGTTCAATATTGTATAACTGTGTTAATTCAACTGTAAACCTAGAAACTTACAGCCACTTGTGAAAGAGATGTACTCTTGCTCTGGAGTGTGTTACTGAATATGTTAAAGCTGTAATGAAATGCTTCTTCTAATCATGTAGTTCTTAAAAAAAAATTTAAATGGCTAAGAAATACCTTAGAAAGTACTCAACATACATAGTAACTAGAAAGATGCATATAAAAACCACCCTAAGAGTTCATCTTTCTCCAGACTTGCTAAGATCAAGAGAACAAAAGACTCCAAATGCTGGAGAGGATGTGAAGAAACAAATGCTCATTCACTGCTGGTGGGAATGCAAACTTGTGCAACTACTATCAAAAACAGTGTGGATAACTCTCAGAAAACTGAAAATGAATCTATCATATGATCTAGTTATATCACTCCTTGGCATATACCCAAATGACTCATCATACTATAGAGACTCCTGTATGTGATGGTTTAAATGAGAATGTGCCCCACAGGATCTAAGTATTTGGACATTTTGTCCCCAGAAGGGGGTGCTGTTTTGGGAGGTCTTAGAAGGTGTGTCTAAGCTGGAGGACGCATGTCACTGGGAGCAGGCTTAGAGAGTTCTTAAGCCTTGCCAGATCCCTTGTCACTCTCTTGCTTCCTGTGCCTGCTTAAAGATGGTACCACTCAGATTTTTGCTCCTGCTCCAGCCACCTCCTGCCACCATGCCTCCCTGCCATGACAGACTGTAATTCCCCTGGAGCTGTAAACTCAACTTCTATAAGTTGCTTTGGTCAGTGTTTCTATTACAGCAACAGCAAAATAACAATACACTGTACACCCATGGTGTTGCTGCTCTCTTCACAATAACTAAGAAATAGAAACAACTCACCTGGCGAATGGATAATGAAAATGTGGTACATCTACTCAATGTTCTAATCAACAGTAAGAAAAGATGAAATTATGAAATTTTCTAGTAAATGGGTCACACTAGAGAGTGTTATACTAAGTGAAGTAACACAAACACAGAAAATCAAGTGATGTATGTTCTTCATTTGCAGATTGTAGCAGCAGTCCCTATATTTGAGTACATATATATTCTGTGTAACACCAGGAGCCAGGAAAATTGAAAGGATACACAGAGGTAAAGGAAAAGAAAGAACCGAAACAGGGGTATAGTAGGGAACAAATGTTACCAGGGGAGATGTGGGGAAAGTGGGAATGTTTGGCAGGGAGGAGAGGAGGGATGGACATGCAAGGGGCCTCGGTATGGAGTGGGGAGGAAAGTCAGGAGATGGAAGATGGAGGGAGGCAAGTGTTATTGCTGGGAGGTTGGGGATAATGGGGATGTTGGAACTGGAGAGACGGAGGAGGGGGGCTGGATGGGAGGAAATGGAGTAGAGATGAATGAATCTTGGGCGACTAGGATACCCAGAGAGAAATGTTATGTCCCCAAAACCCCATGAGAAAAGCACATACAATGTCTAAACATTCATGTGTATGTATACCTTGGAGCTGCTTGGCAAGGAATGCAGTGCCAGACAGAAGAGACCTCTCTTTGAGTGGTTGGTGAGAGAGGAGACTCCTAAAATAGCACAGGCTATTGCCAAACTTCTTGGTTATCTCCCAGAACTCTTAGATAAGACCCTACTGCTGAAGATGGGACATACTTAAGATATGGGACTTGGAGCAATGGGGCAGGAACTGATCTGTAAGCCTTCTATCAGAAGTTTAGCTATCATAATACTAGATGATAATATGCAAACTGCCAAGGGAGAAAAACAATTATTGGTCCAACCCAGCCTTAAAGCCTGATATCCATAATGACCAGCATGGAAAACTACCTATATTGGTTCAGTAGTGGCACTGTTATCTGGGAGGTAATCAACAAATATCTAATTGAACTTAAAGCCCCCTCTCAATGGGAATGAGCTCAAGGGTGGCACTGTAAACACAGCCAAATACACATGGCAGTAGAAGATAGAGATCCTTGAGAAAACACTATCTCTTAAATATCTCTAGGCAAGTGAAATTTCTTACCATATGCTAAATATGGATCCTTATATTTACAGACAAATATACCATATACCATTCATCAAAGAAGCTTCTTTTTACAACAGATGGAGGCTACAGCAGAATTTTACAACTGATCAAACACAGAGAACATATGTCTGAGAGATGCCTACCCCTAGGTGACACATCTACAGTTGAACCTCTACAACTAAGGCTCATGGAACATAGCAGAACAAGGAGAAGAGAGAAAACTAATGCATCTTTCAGCTCTCACCAGTAAAGCTTCCCTATACAACAGAGTGAAATGCACACAGAAGGACACAACTGGCCAAGTTTTAAAGAATAAGAGACTGCAGAGTGTGTATCCTTGGATGGGACTCCTATATTGAAACACAGCCGCCCATGACTCAAGGACCATTGTAGAAGAGGGTATGGAAACATTTGTAAGAGCCAGGGCTGATTCATGAACACAGGGAAGCAGAGGCTTTCAGGCCACTGGATGCTTGCTCACATGAACTTGTGGCAATGGTGGCATCAAGGAAGGGACCCATGTCTACTCAATTAATCCAGGGCCCAGAGGGGAGGAGAGAAACAGATGGCAGCCTGGCCCTAGGCTGAGAACTTTTGAAGACTGATTGCTACTGGGTGAGGGAGAGGATGCCTTACATACGATCTCTAGATTGGCTGACTAGACTCCAGTGGACGAATTTACACTGAAGGACGTCTGGGTACAAACGCTTGACTGGATAGGGCTTAGCATGTATGGCCGAATACATGAGGTCCCGTGGGAGTATGGGGGTATGGATGAGGGAAAGGGTCTAAATTTGTGTGAAATTACAAATGCTCAATAAAAAATTAAGAAATAAATAAAAATTTAAAATATAAAAGCTTTCCCTTGAATCTATAGATCATCTAATATTAAGAGCAAACAACTGTGCATGGCTTTCAAATTCTCCAAATGTTGCTAGAGAAAATAAACATAGTGGGTTTTTTTTGTTGTTGTTGTTGTTGTTGTTGTTTTGACAGGATCTCCCTAGCCCCAGCCTGCCTGGAAGTTACTATGTGGACCTTACTGGCCTCAATCTCGCAGAGATCTGGCTGCCTCTCCTTCCTGATGGCAACTGGAAATAAAGGCCCAGGCCAGTATGCCCAAGTGTGTCTTCTTAAAGGAGGAATAATGATACTCATTGATGTGTTGAAGTGTTGATGTTAGACCTGGAAGAATTCTCCTTCGGTTAATATCAGTTAATATTATCCTTCAGTCCACAGTGGTTAGGAGGGCTCAAGACTACGGTGTCTTAACAAAAATGCTGCCTTAACATTACTGGCAAAATCAGTTATTTCTGATCTTTTTATATTTGTTCAGCAGTTGCATGTCTTTTAGACAAGTTAGTATCAGAATCAAATGTACCTTACGGTGTATTTAGTCTAAGGCTCCAAATTCCAGACAGTAAATTGAGACTCCTTAGGAAATCTCACAAGGTTACTGGATTGATCTGAAAACTGCTTGCCATTCTCCAGGATCTTTTATGTACCGGGTGGAAAATATCAGATCCCAGTAAAGGTAGTGCAACCAGATGGGGTCAAAGGGATTTTATCTTTATTTTATTTAGAAAATTTGCACTAAGCCCTCTGCTAGAATTGAAAGGCATAACGGGACCACAAAACTTTGGAGACATGAAAAAAGTTGGGGAAACCCCATGAAGAAACTCATTGTGTAGAAAAAATGAAATGCCCAAGATGAAATTATTTCTCCACTGAGAAACACAAGTTTATAATGAAAATTTCTTCTAAAACACTGTATGTTCTTTACTGAACGGAGACCTTACCTTATATATAGGCTATTTTATAAAAGTTTAATCTCAATAAACAAAGGGGACAATGTTATTATCTAGGATACAATAGTAATAATATTGAATTTGAATTTGAAAATCAGAGATTGCTCGAGTCTATGCCAAAGCTGTGTTTGTGTAAAGAAGTCCAAGAGATTTAATAGTCTTTATACTATTTTTGTGTGTGTGTGTGTGTGTGTGTGTGTGTGTGCGCGCGTGTGTCTGTGTGTATACACTAAAGACTGAAACCTTGGCATACTAAGACAACACTCTACCACAGATATTTTATTATTTATTTGTTATTAATTAATTTATTTATTTATTTTTGAGACAAGGTCTTACTTAATTGAACTCATTCTGTATCCCAGGCTGGCCTTGAATTTGTGATCCTTCTGCCTCAATCTTTTAGGTATCTGGCCTGTGCTACCAGCCCAGGTTCACATGCTAACTCACCTAAATAATTAGCTACTTCATGGAAACGTTTTGATAGAAGAAAATAAATCAATGTAAGTTCTTGTATTTAGTGTACTTGTAAGACTAACCATCATTAATAGTCATTTAAAATTATTGTCTTCTGGGGTTGGAGAGATTGCTCAGTGGTTAAAAGCCCTGGCTACTCTTGTAGAGGACCCAGATTTGATTCCTAGCACCCACATGGTGGCTAACTCCAGTTCCAGGGGATCCAAAGCTCTCTTCTGACTTTCTTGCTCATTGCACAACACAGGTTCACTTACACACATGCAGACAATACACTTGTACACATTAAATAAAAATAAAAAATTATTTAAAAAATTATTGTCTTCTCTTATATGAACCCTGCAATGAGGTCATGTACGCTCTGAACAACAGAAATTCAGTTCAGTCACTTTAAAACTTTTAATTCATTTATTTTAATTTTAGAACAGTACATTTATTAATGACTTAAATGAAACACAAGAAATTAAAATACCCCAAACTACGAACAATGCTTTTTTAAAAAAAGGTTAATAATTACATTTTAAAAAGCAGATATAATTCTTACACTAAAACCAAATAAACCACCAGCAAACCCAGGTGTGGTGGTACACACCTATAATCCCAGCATTTGGGAAAACAGGGGCAAGAAGATCAAAAGTTCCAAGCCAATCTGGGCTACACAGTAAGAGCCTGTCTCAAAAATCCAAACACGGAGTCAATACAGTCAAAAGTAAGTGCATTGGCCTGAACCTTACCCATTAAAAATAATCTAATTCAGTGCTGGGTATATAGTCCGAAGGTGCAGTGCTGCCCTCTTAATGTGTGAGGCCCTGTGTTTGTTCTCTGGTGTCATAAGAAAAATAAAACAAATCCCCTGCTTCAGTTCCTAAATCCACTAAAACTTCCTTCTCTGAATTCCTGTACTGCACTTTCTGTAACTCAACACACTTCTTACTATTGCCCATATTGTGTTGAAGCCGACAAGAATTCTATCTTAAAATTCCCTCTCAAAGTAGAGAGTAAGTTTCACAGGAGACTTTCCAGTATGTAGCACTTTACTGGACTCTTAACAGGCATCCTGTAAAGACTGGTTGGCATATATTTTTTGGCAATGTCTTTCCACAATTCAGTTGGAGTGGGAAGCAGATGTGTATTAGTCATAGTATGTACAATCTCAGAGAGTCAAACATAGATCATACACACAAAAGCAACATCTAGCAGGTAATTATTTGCCTGGATAAATGAGTAGCTTTTATTTAATTCTGGGCAAGCATTGTACTATTGAGTTATACCTTCAGTCCTGATATTCACTCTGAAAGAAAAGTTGTAGTACAATTAGTTCTCTTCACAGTATTTAAATGAAAAAAAAATCAAGCACACACAGACCGTTTATTGTAATCAAAGATTAAGTGTAAACACTACTCTACAAGATCAGAGCCATTGTTTATGAATAATCCAAAGACAGTATGCTAGAACCAAAGTTATTCAAAGGCCATCTTCATATTGCATTCTTGCTCCTTGCGGCGGTAGTCCTCAAAAACCTTCGTTATCTCTTCAACCTTCTTCTGCATTACGCCTACAGGGGGAAAAGTCATAGAATCATTAGACTGAGTCACATTTTAGGAACATAGTAACACACCTTATCCTCAGTTATGACACATAAAACCTTGCATATCAATTTTAATAGTTTTAAGTTTTAGGAAATACAAAAACCATCTGTTTAGAATATGAAAACAGTTCACGTGAATACTGTTTATGTTGTTTGCAGGCAGTAACAGTCTACCTGACATCTGTGTTTTGTTGGAAGGAAGAATTAACTGGGTTTTTTCCTCATTACTGCCTAGAAGTACAATCCAGGGTGGTCAATAAATTGAACACAGATTTTGGTGGGTCTTAGCTCCTTTTAATAGACGAATGCACTGAGAACATTTACATTTTTATTCTTTTCTAATGATTTGTTTAACTTAGTGGTTCTTAAGTTTGCTCAGGGGCAGTGTACCACAATATGCCATTAATATGATCTTCTAAAATAGTACTTTTCTGCCATGAAATATAAGCTGTTGAAGGAAGTATGATAACTTGAAATGTTCTACAAAATTGTGCCAATAGAACTGGTCATTTATTTAGTGTTTACTTATATTTATTAATAGATAAATAATAGTTGGTGCCCAATAAGAAAGAGAAATTTTACAAATGAGAACTAAACATTTGAACAAGCTACTATAATTTTCAGCCAGTCAGAACAACCCTAATATTTATCTAGTTCTTAAGGCACAATCCCCCATCTTATTGTATAATATATAGACATTCTGCAAGATTATACTTTAACAGCAAGTAAATGAAATAATGGATATCTACTAAAATGCCAGAATAACAGTGTATATTGAGCTTGGCAAAGTAAATCTCTCCCTTCTGTTGCAATAATAAACTTCGGGGAGCAAATTTTCCTCCCTAAATAACAGTTTTAATGCAATGGAAGCCTAAATGAGTGGGACAACAAACAATTAAGTTGAAGCTAGAAATGTCAACATAAGCATAATTTGGGAATTTGCTGACTGATACATATTAACTGCAAAGGAGTACATTTATAACAATTTAAAAAATCAATACAATGTCCAGAAACACAAGTAAGTATTATTAAGAGAACCTTACTTTATAAATACTTTGTCATGTCTTCTCATTGAATTTCCTGGAGTATTTCTGTATTAACATACTTTAAATTGTTTTAGGACTTTCACTCACTAAGGACAAAACCTGAACATGATACCTACTGCCCAGAGGTCTGGTTCCAAGGCCAGCATCACTGATTGGTTTCTGTCAACACATTCTATTATACATCCCCCTAGAAGTAAAACACTAGTAGTATTCACTTAGATGAAAATACACGATATGCATTTTTGCATCACTAAAAAAACTGAAAAATATGAGAATAAAAACCAATTCAATTTCTAATATACAAAATGTGATATGTGGTTACAATAAAGACAGCAGTACAAAAGAATGAAGCATGTTACATATATAACATGAATGAAACTAGAAAACATTATCCCAAATCCAAGAAGTCAGACCACGACAGTCTAGATATGATTTCATTGCTACAAATTCTCCAGAAAAGGCAAATCTACAAGGACAGGAAGTAGATTGAAGATTGCCTGAGATTTGCATGGGAATGGAGAATAATTGAAAGGAAGAAAAAGGAAACTTGGGGTCCAATGGAAACGTTCTAATATTGGAATGCTTGATGTTCGTACAACTCTATAGACTTATCTCAACTGTTGATAGTTAAGATGTTTTGTGCTTAGAATATTTTAAAAAGTGATTCACCCCCGCCCCCCCCCACAGAAAATGATTGTGGTAAAATTACTTGCAGGCAGTCTCCTGATTTGGAGACATATTTCCCTGCAAATTAAACGGACTTGCAAATATTTTAGGCACTGATCTAAAGACTTTTTTATAGTTATAAAAATAAGAGTTTTTGTCAGTAAACTAAAGGACAGATTTCTATTATAATGAATAATTTTAAAGTTTCAATTATTACCAACTGAGATATTATTAAATCCACCTGTCAAGGAAGATTCTGTACTCTCATAAGCATTGTTATAGTATAGCTCTTCCTCCTAGGAAATAATTGAGGCAGCGGATGAAAAAGTACTCTGACAAAAAATTAGTCAGAAAACACAAACAGGCAACTTATTAGAGGATATGTAAATTGTTTACAATCATTTCCAAATATTCCTCATCATAAGTAACCAGAAAGACACAACTTATACCAGGTATTTTTACCTATGAGTTTTAAATTTTTTGTTTATTATTTTTATTTTTATGTGTATATATGTAGTGCCTGTATGTTAGTGTCATGTAAGGCCTGTGGAGAACAGAAGAGGGCACTGGATTCTCCAGAACATAACTCACTTGATTTTCTGTGTTTGCGTTACTTCACTTAGTATAATACTTTTTTTCTGTGTTTTGTGTTACTTCACTTAGTGTAACTGGAGTTATAGACAGTTGTTAGCCAGACTCGTGGGTGCTGGGAATCAAACCAAGGTCCTCTGCAAGGGTAGCCAGCGCTCTTAACCACTGAACCATCTCTCTAGCCGTCACCTATGAGTTTTGTCAAAGAATGATAATGGTGCTAATTATATAGATCATGGTGGAAGAAGTATAGAAAATGGGTATGGTAATGAATTGCTGATGGAAGTATAAAGTAGGTCTCCTTACCTGAAAGAAATAATATATATCAGTGTTTAGAGCACTGGCTGCTGTTTCAGAGGACCTGGGTTTACGTAACTAGCACCCACATGGCATCTAACAACCACCTTTAACTCCGGTTTCAGAGGGATCTGATGCCATTTTCTGGCAAGAATTGCACACACATGGAGCACTTACATGCATGCAGGCAAAACACTCATACACATAAAATATAAAGAAATAAATAATTAAAATTATGGCATATCCAGATATTTTAGCAATCATTAAAATGTGGACTATTTAACAGCATGAAAAGATATCTATGCATACAAGTCTATTCATTTTATATCTTCTTGATTAAAAACTAAGTATAGGGGCTGGGGAGAGGGTTCAGTTGGTAAAGTTCTTGCTATGTAAACATGAGGATCTGAGTTCAAGCCAAAGAATCCTTGTAAAGAGTCACTTGTATTCCCAGTGCTGGGGAGGTGGAGGCAGGCAGATCCCTGGGGGGTGCTGGTCAGTCAATCTAACCTAAGCACTGAGCCCCAGGTCCCAATGAGAGAACCTTTCTCAAAAATCAAGGTCACTGGCTCCAGAGGAATGACAGTAGAGGCTGACTTCTGGTTGCATACAAATAATAATAATAATAACAGTATTAATAATAATCTGAATGTAGTGTGTAGTGAATACACCAATTCCAACTGTATGTTGGACCCAAAGATTATAGCTAGTGTTTGAAAATGCAGAAATAATGAATAATCTGTAGAAAAAGTTAAAATTCTAGTAATCAGACATGTAAATAAAGAACTGTGATATTATATACAAAGACCAGTAATATAGTATTACAACGCAAAATGGACAAAAAGAGGCTAAATAGCTCTTAGAATGATGACTTAAGAAAGGTTTCATATTAAATAGGACTCTGAAACTGCATCTTGATAGAGGGACAGCTACCAGACAGATAATGATAGATTGAGGTACCCCAGACAGAAGAAAGTAGGCATCCAAACATGTAAGAGGAAAGGACATAAGGTGTTTGCAAAGTCATTAATACTTTTGAAAAGTAGTGCTGCAAACAAAGAAGCAAGTATGTATCAGATGATACCATGGTACTTGGTATATAATGCCAAGAACAGGAAGCTATTATTGGGCAATCAGAACTATAGGGGTTCTAATAAAGAGACAAGAACACAGTATCATTTTATGAGGATTACATTGACGGTGGTGTGGAAATGAATTGAAGACTGTATAGATTAAACACATATATTTGCCATTGTTCCAGTTCAATACATCAGAAAAATAGTAGTAAAGAATTTTCTAATGAGGGAAAAGATAACACTATTAAAACTTGAAGGAAGGAAAGAAAGAAGTAAATAGCAAGGATTGTAGTAGAAATATGGATTTAGACCTGGATAAAAAAGCAGCATTCAAACTGGAGCTGAGAATAAGGTAATGAATAACTAAGAAGCTCACCTGCCCTCTCTTCCACGTCTTACATCTGGATGATTTTCCCTATTCAAGTTCTAAAGAAGATTTTCCTTTGAAGAGGCTGAACAAGATAAGCTCTAGACCAAAACTGAGGGCAAAGAGTCTGTACAAAATCTACGGATTAAGTGAAAGTTTACAAGAGATTAAGTATAAGCCTGAAAACTGAGCATGGAGTCTCCAGGTTGTTTTCTACAGCTTCAAGAATATTGGTTTAGTATTGGGATTACTAAACTGTAGCCAGGGACTTGAAGATTCTTCTTTAGAGAATCTGACCAGCTAAACATATACATTCTAAAGGTAATGGTTGGAAATCCTTTGGTGAAGGGGGAAGTGGAGGAAATATAGTCAAATTATCCTACGGTAAGTTATTAAGCTCACAACATTTTTCATATAGCTTTCTGAAATATAAGTGAGCAATCAAGAGTCACCAGACATTTGAGGAAACCCTCTTGATATGAGAAAGACTGACAGAACTTGCAAAGAAAGCTGAAAGAAACAATCTAGGAAAAATAAAATTGCTTTTAAAAACATTATTCAGTCTCTCAGAGATCATACTGAATATATGAAACATGAAGAAATGCTATTAAATGCACTTACACAAAGTCATCAAATAACAACAAGCTCTTGCAATATGAAAGTAATGGCAGAGAGCAAAACTGTACAAAGAGTTTGGAAAAGAAGTTGAGTATAGATCCAGAAATTTTAACAAAAAATATAAAGAATAACTAAAGGAGAATAAAAATATAGACCAGTTCAGGGAACAAAATATTAGATTAAGTGTATTTCCAGAACAAACAGAGATAACATAGGGAAAGAAATTAGCAGAAACTTCATTTAATAAAATAGCCTCAAACTGAAAGAAATTAGTTTCTTGGCTCATTGCTATTAGGCCCAGTAGGT